ATCCAGCCTCCCCCGCGGTGCGCTGCCTCCCAGCGGGCTCCGAAGCGAGCCTCGCGCGGCGGGAAAGGGCGCCCAGGGCTTGGGAAGGCTGCTGAGGTTGGAAGACCCCTAAGGTCGCTTGCTGTGGCCAGAGGAAGGGAACCGAGTCCCGAGAGGGAACTCCAGCGGGAACCACCCTTTCAGGGGAAGGGCCCAGCATGCAGCCCAGGAACTGGGAGTCCCGAGCGCGCAGGGCCGGCTTTCTGTCCCTGGGAAGCCCAGTTTAACCAGTCGAAGCCGGCCGGCAAGAAGGAGTTCCTACTCCGAGCGGCGCCGGCGGCCGACCAGGCTCCGACACTCGCCCCGCAGGCCGGCCGCAGCCCGACTGAGGAGGATTCTGGTGAAGGCTGGAGGAGAAGGTTGGAGAGAGGGGCTGGGACTCCTGCTGTCGTGGCCGCAGTTTAAAGCCGTCAGCCTGTCACTAGCCGGGAATCTGGCTGAGCTAGCAGCTTCCGGGCAGGTTTGTATAGGGAAGTCCACACCTCCAGCTCACTGTACCCTGCACCCAAATCTACCTGACAGCGGCTGAGAACAACCTGCCTCCTGCTGGGACCCGAGGGTAGGTGCATTTACCCTTCATCTCTTTTATCCCATAAGCCTGGGGTTTCCTAAACTGAGCAGCAGGTGTCTCGGGCTCCACCAGAAGCCGGGATTGGGCTGTCGGTCGACCACGCAACGCTATGGATCCGTGCACCTGTCCCAAGCAATGGCTGGCCACACCCAGGGAAGGCAGGACTGGGAACTGGAGGCCCGGAGCTGCACGTCTCAGGTCTCTCCCTTCTCTTCCTCAGGTGCTGTTATCAATCCCAGCCGGGAGAAGAGCTGCTGGGGCTGGGTGGTCATGGGGGAGGCTGGTAGAGAGGAGTATAAAATCCAGTCTTTTGATGCAGAGACCCAGCAGCTGCTGAAAACAGCCCTCAAAGGTGAGCACGGGAACGCTGGGGAGCCAGGCGGGAGCTGCAGAGAAGGGGCTGAGCCCCAGGGCCAGGGAATGCCCAAGCCTTCACTTCCTGAGAATGCAAGTCACAGCCTCTTGCACTGGAAAGACAAGCTACCTTTAGGCCAGTATTTGGGAGGATGAATCACAAAGTTATCTCTCATGTAGCAAAGCCTTGTTAAAAAGTGCTCACCAAACCGGGCATGGTGGTGCATGCCTGTAGTCCCAGCACTTGGGAGGCTGAGGCAGGAGGATCGCTGTGAGTTCAAGACCAGCCTGCTACATAGCTTCATGTAGCAAAGCCTTGTTAAAAAGTGCTCACCAAACCGGGCGGGGTGGTGCATGCCTGTAGTCCCAGCACTTGGGAGGCTGAGGCAGGAGGATCGCTGTGAGTTCAAGACCAGCCTGGGCTACATAGTGAGTTGCAGATCAGTCTCAACTCCATAGTGAGACCCTGTCTCAAAAAAACAAAAAAAGAGCTCACCAATGAGTACGTGGTTCCTACTCTTTAAGCCTTGACGTAAGATTTGCTTGTTTCTGTGTTGCTGCCGCCAGCTCTTAACTAAATGTGTGAAGCCCTGACTTGGGAAAGAAAGGACAATCTGGCTTGGCAGAGGAGATATGTAAATGTAATTGCCCTGGACCAATGCTTTCCCGCCACTCGGGACAGAAGTTGGACCTGGCTGACAGTGAGCAAACCTGTCAAGTGCAAGGCCAAGCCTGGGGGAGGTCCTGCAGGGCCAGCTTTGAGGGGCTTGTTGTGTGTATGGGACAGGAACACTATTCTGTGAAACGGCTGTGGAACTCAGCGATCAGTGTTCTTCCCCAACTCAGTCCCAGGAAAAAATGTGCGACCTAGTAAAATATACCCGTATTTTGGTTGGTTGCTACCAGCCACATGACCTTCCGTTTTCTCTATGAGCAGCCAGGGGAGTGACTGCTGGGGCTGCTCACACATACTGGTAGTTCCTGGGCCTTCTCTCCAGTGTTGTTTGTTTGGTTTTGCTTTTGTGGAACTGGAGTTTGAAACTAGGGCCTTCAGACTGAATTATATCCCCAAGTTTTTTCTTTTAGTACTAGGGATCGAACTCAGGACCTTGCTCTGAGGCAGTTGAGGCGCCACTGAGCTAAATCTCCAGCCCTTTGTTTTTGTGTTTGTTTTTGAGAGGGGTTCTCCCAAGTTGCTGAATTAGTTGCCCAGGTTGGGCTCAAACTTGTTCTGCCTCTGCCTCCCAAAGTGCTAGGATCACAGCCCTGCGTCACCATGCCCAGATCCTTCTGTCTAGATTTTTTCTCTTTGGTACTGGGAACCAGGGCCTTGAGATTGACAGGCAGGTGCTGTGCCGCTGAGCAATATCCCTGGCTCTTTTTTTCTTTTTTGTAGTGCTGGGCATCAAACCCAAGGCCTTGTGTGTGCTAGGCAAGGGCTCTACGACTGAGTTTCATCCCAGGCCCTTCATCTCTTAAATTTAAGCATACAGCTGGAGTGCACTACTGTGAACATCTCAAATCCCTCTGGGAAGCAGGTGAAGGTAAATGTGATCAACAGGCAGCTCTAGATTCCCCTCCTGTCTCTACCCTAGATCCAGGCGCTGTGGATTTGGAGAAAGTGGCCAATGTGATTGTGGACCATTCTCTGCAGGACCGTGTATTCAGCAAGGAAGCAGGACGCATGTGCTACGCCATCATCCAGGTTGGGGGGTTGGCAGGACAGGGAGCTGCTCTGTGGAAGGCGCTTCCTGAGTCGGCAGAGGCCAGCCAGCAGGACAGAGATGAGAAGGGCAGGGAGAAGAGTAGGACCGGTGGGACGGCCTCGGCACCACCCCTACCTCTCACCACCCTCTCCCTGGTTCACAGGCAGAGAGTAAGCAAGCAGGCCCAAGTGTCTTCCGGCGTGGACTCCTCAACCGGCTGCAGCACGAGTACCAGACCCGGGAGCAGCTGAGAGCACACTCCATGCAGGGCTGGGTCTGCTTTGTCACCTTCATCTGCAACATCTTTGACTACCTGAGGGTGAGGCCCAGGCAGCCACCCCGTGGAGGCGGAGATGGCCATCTCCTGAGCCCCACACTGAACTGCTTCCCTTGGCCACTAATGCTGCCACTCTGGCCTCTTCCCCCACACCAACAGGTGAACAACATGCCCATGCTGGCCCTGGTGAACCCAGTCTATGACTGCCTCTTCCGGCTGGCCCAGCCAGACAGTCTACATGAGGAGGAGGAGGTAGGAGGCCCAGCAGAAGGCTGTGGCGGTCAGCAGCCGGCCCCAGTTGAGTGGGAGGCCTTGGAGGGCATCACTTTCCAGGTAGGAGCCCTGTGGGGCCTTTAGGGCCTGTCACTGCTGGGTCTAGGGTGTATCTAGAACAGAAAGCAGCCTGAGCCAGCTGGTGCAGCAATTTCCTCCCTAGTAGAAAAGCCAAGCCATGACAGGAATGGTGAGAGCCACAGCCAGCTTTGGGCATAGATGGCCCAGAAAGCAAACTGATGTTAGACAGTAACAGGCAAGCAGAAAAGCGGTTCTGAAGCAGTTGGAGACAGACCTCACTAGAGGTTCTAGGCAAGTCCCTGAGCTCGCTTCCTTTTATGTAAGATGTAGTTAACAGTCCCGGACAGTGAGGATGAGCATAAAGGGCAGGCAGTGTCACTCACAGGATAGGGGATAAGCTGGCTCTGCCCAGGGCTGACCCCGGTCTCCCTGTTGCCTCTGCAGGTAGACTGCTTGGTGCTGCAGCTGCACCGGGTTGGGGAGCAGCTGGAGAAGATGAACGGACAGCGCATGGATGAGCTATTTGTTCTGATCCGGGATGGCTTCCTGCTCCCGACAGGCCTCAGCTCCCTGGCCCAGCTGCTGCTGCTAGAGATTATTGAGTTCCGGGCCGCCGGCTGGAAGACCACCCCTGCTGCCCACAAGTATTACTACAGTGAGGTTTCTGACTAGCTCCAGCTTGGGACTTGCTCCCTGCAGCACTGACCTCTCCTTAGCCCTTCTTCCAAGCTGGCAGGGAAGTCTGCCTCTCCCAGAGGCTTTGCCGTGCTAGTTGCACAGCAACTTCACCTTCCTAGTTGCACTGTGGTCCTGCTGTTTCCTTTCCCCACCCAGGCGTTGGGGAAATACCAAAGACTTGTTCCCCAGGCTCAAGTCTGACCCCTTTCCCCCGAAAGTCCTATCAGCCTTCTACCATGTCCCACCAGGACCATGCAGAGCAGGGCAATGCCTGCTGACCACTGCACTGTATAACCACTGCTGGACCAGGACCTTGCCTCAGTAGCCCATCTATAAAATGGGTAACCATAGCCATGGGTTGCCTCACGATGCTTCAAGATGTCAAGGAGCAAAGGGAGTGCACTTTACCCCAGAAACTGCCTATTCTACATTTTTTTTCTTTTTTTTGAGACGGTCTCACTAGTTGAGACTGACCTGGAACTCACTATGTAGCCCAGGCTGGTCTCGAACTCAGCGATCCTCCTGCCTCAGCCTCCCAAGTGCTGGAATTATAGGCGTACGCTACCATGCCCCACCTATTCTACACTTTTTCAAAGGACCATTGTGGAAACAAGCCTATTTCCTCCAGTAAGTTTTAATCAATGGTTCTTCTGTATCAGGGAGAGGAGTTTTTTTGGTACCGGGGATTGAACTTGGGTCCTTGGACTTGTGAGGCAGGCAGTGGTACCACTGAGCTAAATCCCAGCTCAAGGATTTTCTAATAAAGGGCAAATATCTTCTAATACTACAGCTTCTTCCTTTCACATCCAAAGGTCTGTCCCGAGCTGAAGAAAGAGGAGACTGGGCCCTGCGTTTCTCAGAGGAAATTCCCAAGTCAATGTTTCCTCTTTTACAAGATGGGGCAGAGAAAGCCAGTTCCAACCCCAATGAGAAAGGATCAATGGACAATAAACAGGCTGATCCCTCCTTCTCAAAAAGGAACTACAGCCTTTGTTTGTACTGGGGATCAAACTTGGTCCTTGCTCTTGCGAGGCAGGCAGCAGCACCACTACTGAGCTAAATCCCCAGCTTGTCATTACTTTTGTTGTGTTCTGTTTTGAGACAAGGTCTCCTGTGTAGTTCAGGCTGTCCTTGAGTTTACTTTGTAGTCCAGATAGGCCTCAAACACCAAGGCCTCAGCCTTCCGAGTACTAGGATTATAGGCATGCACTACCATGCCCAGCTAGAACTACATCCTTAATACTCAGGTACTTTTCAGTAGGGCAGAGGGCCTTGGGCTCCTCCCAGAGCCTCTCCTTTCCCTCTACCACCAACGGTAATGGGCCAGGGCACGGTTGGCCTCAGCCATCTTGTGCATGTCCTGCTTCCTCTTGATCACGGGGCCCTGATTGTGAAAAGCCTGCAGCAGCTCATGTGACAACTTCTCTGGCATCAATGTCCGCCGGTGCTTATTATTTCGGCACTCAGTGATCATCCACTTCATGGCCAGGAAGCGGCGACGTTGGTCAGGTAGGGGCACAGGGACCTGGGTGAGGAGACAGGACACAGGCCAGTTGATCCAAGGGCCTACCAGGGCTGGGCCTCCTACCTCTCCAAGCCCTGATGAAGCACCACGCATTCCCTCAGCCTGGTAAGGCTCCTAAGGAAAGAAGCCTATCTTTTTTGCTTTGAGCTTCCCCCATTTCTGTGTGACCTCAGAGTGAGACATAAGGGACGTTTGCTGAGTAAACCTCATTAAACATTGGTCTCTTTCTCTCTGACATGGAAGCTTTGCTAAGTTGATACAAGCAGCAATTGCTAAAAACCTCATAAGCCAGGGTGATTTAGCTACCTCAGACCAAGCATACCTAAAACAGTGCAAGAGTCATTCACCCAGCCCTCGCTATGCCAGGTTCCACACTGGACAGTAAAGATGCAGGCAGTAAGAAAATACCTACCTTTATGGAATTTAAACTGCAAAGGGAGAAATCAAGGAAACTTACTTAGGACAGTGAAGAATAAATGGTATGATTATACAAATGCCAAGTTAATGGGCCAGGGATTTAGTTCAGTGGTGCTGCTACCTGCCTAGCAAGTGCAAAGTCCTGAGTTTGATCCCCAGTACAAAAAAAACAAAAAAACAAAAAAACTAAAAACTGAATGCCTAGTTAAGTTCAACAGTGGTGAAGCAGCAGTTATGGATGGCTCAAGCACTATGCTAACACTGGCGGAGAGAGATGGGATATACCTTCTCTTTGAGAAGTTCAGAGTTTAGAATATACCTGATAATCGACAGAAAAGGACAGGGAGCTCACAGAAATAAGATTTTTAAAACTTGGGGGGGTGGGTTTGTTTTGAGACAGGGTCTTGCTATGTAGTTCAGACTGACCTTCACTATGTAGACTAGGTTGACCTCCAACCCATAGTGATCCTCCTGCCTCAGCCATCGAGTGCCATTATAGGCATGTGACACCACACCCAGCCAGAAGATGGGATTTTTACATTACAGGTCTCAAATGAGTAGATCCTGACAGTCCTCAGTCTCTACAGAGCTGTCAATCTTGGCCCAACTCTGAGGCGTCCCACCTCTGCTTTCCTGCCAGACCACTCACCTGGTAGAAATGGCCACCTTTAAGGATGGGTACAAGGCCAATGACAGGCTCACAGTTTTTCAGTGCTTGGTGGAAGATGATGTAGGGGTTGCATTCGATGGTTGCCTGTTCCTCTGTAGAAGCAGCACGGTACTTCTCAAACTGCTTCCTTTTCACAGCTTCCAGAGTCTGCAAATAGAGAGTGCAAGAAACTGCTCCAGGCTAACGCGTTTACTCCACTCAGTATCTTACTCTTTTATTTCCATCATCCAGTTCTACAGCAGTGCAGTTCCTCCCTCAACACATTCAAGACAAGCTCAAGTACCTCCCCATTTGCTAGACTAGGACAGAAAGAGCAAGCTGAACTCTGATACAGGGCAAATGGCATTCATTGACTCCTGCAGGACTTCTTTAAACCCCTACAACCACGACACAGGGAAGTTAATTTTAATGACAGGTCTATGAATTATTTTAATTTTTTTTTTTTTTTTTTGTACCCTTTGGTACCGGGGATCAAACTCAGGTCCTTGCACTTGCAAGGCAGGCGGTGGAACCACTGAGCTAAATCCCCGGCCTTATTATTATTACTGGAGGTACTGGCTCACTGAGCTACATCCCTATCCCTTTTACTTAAGGTATCACTTAGTTGCTCAGGCTGGATTTGAACCTGAAATCCTCCTGTTTCAGCCCTTCAGTGTGCAGAGATTACAAGTGTGGACTACAATGAGCTACATCTCTATTCTTTTTCTTTAAACTTTAGTAATTTTTATTTTGGTAAGAAAGCTGCCTCTTGTAGTTTTTTTTTTGTTTTGTTTTGGTTTTTTTTTGTACTGGAGGTCATAGGTGGTGGAACCACTGAGCTAAATCCCGGGCCCTTATTCTCTACTTTTTAAACTAAACTGAAAGAACCGAGCACAGTACAAACTAGAGGGAAAAGAAAGGTAACAGAAGTGGAGGAACTGTTTACCTGGGTCACGAGGGATCTGGCCAGTATTTTATTTCCTCCTTTCATCATCATGTTGGTGAATTTACTTCAGGGAGAAAAAACAACATGTTTAGATTTCTAAGGCTCTATCATGGAGCCCTTACCGTAGATAAGTCCTAATTCGTGGAACAAGTGTGTGTTTCCATCTGACCTGATTACTGGGTCTGCGAACACAGAGCACGTTGTCGTCGCTGGGGCTGCTTTGATGAGCTGAGCCTTCTTGAGCTCCTGGTCATATTTCTCCTCCTTGGTGAGCGCGGTCTCAGGCTTCTGGTAATGTTCTTTATCAACTAGAGGATCCCTGAATTCAGGACCATAGCGGCTCCATCGCACCTGTGCTAGCCTGAGAGGGAGGAAGAGGAGGCAGGCAAAAGTTAACTCCACAGGGGCGGGATTTAACTCAGTGGTTCCGCCACCTGCCTCGCAAGCGCAAGGTCCCGAGTTTGATCGCCGGTACCGCGCCCCCCCCAAAAAAGCTGACTCCACAAATGAATAAGCCTGACTTCACAATAGACATGTTTGCCAACCCCCCAGAAAGGAAGCGCAGTGAGGAGATCGCAAGCTAAACCTGAACCGCAAAAAATCTGGCTTCTGTCTCTAGAGGTAGGAGGAGGACCTCCCTCAGTGGGCCGGGGAATCCCACTCCTTGTGCAGTGCTAACGTTCCCAACCTCTCTCTTCTCCACCTTCCAACTCCCAGACAGTTCCACTCTGAGCTCTTTAGCAGGGCTGCAATTTCAGCTCCGATTCTGAACGCTGTGTCAGACTTAAATCACGAAGCCTTCAGACAGGCCCAAGGTCACGCAGCTAATTTAAAGAGATCTGAATTGAGGAATCTCGGCCTCCTAAGCAGTCAGTGCTCCTGCCCGGGCCCAGCGCGGCATCCTGTGGCTCCCACCCCGCAGGCTTCCTCCCCCGCAGGTCCCAGCTGCTCGCCGTCCTCTCACCCTGGAACACGCCAGACCGCGCAGGTGATTCCCGGGGCCAGGCTGGGCCGGGACCGCAGGGCCTTCAGCATGGGGGCAGCCATCTTGGTGGACTACGAGGACCCCCACGCGGACTGCCCTCGCCGCGCCTGAGCGACGAGACGGGTTCAAGACTAAATAGGGCCGTAAGCTTGCATCTCATCCACTGATCCTGGCGTTAGAGTCTTTCACCGTGAGGTCCAAAAGGGAGATCTAAAAAGAAACACTCTCCCTGCCAATAACCGCCCCGACCCTCGGTGGCAGCACTCTCCCCTCTCAGGCCCCCAATGCACGCCCCGCCCCAGCTCGGCCTGTGCAGACTCTCGCGAGGTCTGAGGCCGCGGGGTTGGCCGGGGCGGCTGCAGTATGGCGGAGACGGAAGGAGAGAGCCTGGAGTCCTGGCTGAGTGAGTATCCGCGGCCGCTTCCACCTGTTCTCAAACTGCCGGGCTGCGCCTCCTCACCCCCACGTCCCTTTCCTG